GTTGCTTTTGTTCTCTCTTGCTTTATTTGGTGGTTTTAAAACTTGTTTGCTTTTGATCATTTGAGATACTATGCTTGTGAGACATTGATGATCATGTGTTTGATCATAAGCTACACTTATGCATGTTTGATGATATTATCCTATCTATCTTATGTGATCATTCACTTTGCTTGGTGATGAGTGCATGTATTCAATGTTTATTATTTTGAGCGCTCCACCAAGATGTATGTGACATGGAAGAGTAACCCATGAGCCTAATTCATTGTGCATTTTTAGTCCAAAGCAAATCTTAAACTATGCACAAATTTAGGGGGAGCTCTTGCTTATCACATACTTCTCAAAGCGACGATGTTATTCAATCTTATTATCATTTGTCGAAGCTTTGATCTATATGTTGTCATCAATTACCAAAAAGGGGGAGATTGAAAGTGCAACTATCCCTAGGTGGTTTTGGTAATTCATAACAACATATAGCTCATTGAGCTAATGCTATTCCAAGACTATTATTTCAGGAAAGCTCAATGAATGGCATGGCATGGATGATGAAAGTGGATCCCTCAAAATACTAAGGACAAAGGATTGGCTCAAGCTCAAAAGCTCAAGACTCTTCATTTTATATTTTAGTGATCCAAGATCACATTGAGTCTATAGGAAAAGCCAATACTATCAAGGAGGGATGAGGTGTTGCTTAATGAGCCTCTTGCTTCATGTGCTTTGTGATATGCTCCAAAACCCTCAACTACTTTCCCACATCCACAAATGACTTAAACCCAAAGCCAAAACCGGTCACACCGATTCTTCCTATCCGGCGCCACCGATTCCAAAAGTCATAGCCACTGCCACAAACCCTAAGCAAATCGGTCTTACCGATAGGGATCTCGGTCTCACCGAGATGGGGTTGTAATCTCTCTGTTTCCCTTCGTAACGTTTCGGTCTAACCGAAGTGAGCGATCGGTCCCACCGAGATTGCAATGTAAACTCTCTGTTTCCTTTTTGTAACATTTCGGTCTCACCGAAAAGAGCAAATCGGTCCCACCGAGTTTACCTGACCAACTCTCTGGAAAGCTTATTACCAAATCGGTCTCACCGAGTTTGTGTAATCGGTCTTACCGAGATTACGTTATGCCCTAACCCTAACCGAATCGGTCTCACCAAGATGCATGTCAGTCCCATCGAAAATCACTAACGGTCACTAGGTTTACTAAATCGGTCCGACCGAGTCTGTTGAGTCGGTCCCACCGAGTTTGGTAAATTGTGTGTAACGGTTAGATTTTGTGTGGAGGCTATATATACCCCTCCACCTCCTCTTCATTCGTGGAAAGAGCCATCAGAACGAACCTACACTTCTAACTTACCATTTTTGAGAGAGAACCACTTACTCATGTGTTGAGGCCAAGATATTCCATTCCTACCATATGAATCTTGATCTCTAGCCTTCCCCAAGTTGCTTTCCACTCAAATCTTCTTTCCACCAGATCCAAAACCTATGAGAGAGAGTTGAGTGTTGGGGAGACTATCATTGGAAGCACAAGAGCAAGGATTCATCATCAACGCACCATTTGTTACTTCTTGGAGAGTGGTGTCTCCTAGATTGGCTAGGTGCCACTTGGGAGCCTCCGACAAGATTATGGAGTTGAACCAAGGAGTTTGTAAGGGCAAGGAGATCGCCTACTTCGTGAAGATCTACCGCTAGTGAGGCAAGTCCTTCGTGGGCGACGGCCATGGTGGGATAGACAAGGTTGCTTCTTCGTGGACCCTTCGTGGGTGGAGCCCTCCGTGGACTCGCGCAGCCGTTACCCTTCGTGGGTTGAAGTCTCCATCAACGTGGATGTACGATAGCACCACCTATCGGAACCACGCCAAAAACATCCTTGTCTCCAATTGCGTTTGAATCCTCCAAACCCTTCCCTTTACTTTCTTGCAAGTTGAATGCTTTAATTTCCGCTGCCTATATACTCTTTGCATGCTTGCTTGAATAGTGTGATGATTGCTTGACTTGTCCTAAAGTAGCTAAAATCTGCCAAACTCTAAAATTGGGAAAAATGTTAAATTTTTATTGGTCAAGTAGTCTAATCACCCCCCTCTAGACATACTCCAAGGTACTACAGTAGGCATTTGGCTGCGACGTGGAAGGTGTTTGTGGTGTCTCTGAGACGCTGCCAATTTTGTTCGCCTTTTTTTGTGGTAGCTCATGGCCGTTTCCCACAGTCGACGTTATGAGCACATTTGGACAAGGGATTGGGTTCCCCTGCTGTGGGCCATGGCCATATAAGGGTCATGAGATAGAGGTTGTTATTTGCGGACTAGGTGTCTTTTCGAAGCTCTGTCATTGTATTCCTCCATTGTTTCTTTGTCATTATCAGTCTCGCCATGCATTTGCTTCTCCTTGCGTGTAGGTTCCCTTTTAGGGCCCAGGTTTACCTTTGTTGAGCTTAGTGGTGCATGTTGGTGGTGCTCTGATTTGGTCTTCCAGGTGACAATGCGTCGGTTTTACACTTTAGCTCTTGGGTGAGGGTCTGTATCTTCCGCCGGATCGGTGCCTCATGTCGGGCGAGGGGGCAGGGAGCCCCTTTCGGAGAGGAGGAGGCCGTAACCGAATAGGCCAAAGCCCATGCAACCGACAAAGTGTTACTCTCACCTGCTAGTTGTGTCTCCTCAAGGCCTTGCTGGTGTGTTTGTGTCGTGGCCTGCTCTCGGTGGAGGGCTTCATTGACTTCAAGCTGTTTTTATGCCTTAGACTCTCCATTTTTGCTTGTAGGTTGTATGAAGCTTGCTGGCCATTTGCAAAGCAATGTCTATCTTTAACCTGTTTTTTTTTTCGTTCTTGTAAGTATGATGTAATCCTGGCTGGAACAACGCCGGGCTTGACTTGAGCCTTCGTTCTAAAAAAAACTTTGGCCCCCCTAATCCATTCAACACTGTGGAGATCCTTCGGACATACGAGTAATTCCATCTTCTTCACGATGAAAATAAAGCATGCATATTTTTATTGTCCTTAATTTTGGTCTAAAGAAGATCATAAGTTGGCTAGACAATAATTGTGCTCTCAAGTTTTCGGAAAAGAAAGACTGAAAGAGATAAATGAACACTAGGGAAAAAGTCGAAGTTAAAAAAGAACACTACGAAAAGATCACTCAAACCAGTGGTGGTGATTCCGGCAGCCGTTTCCGCCTCCCCGTCTCCATCACGCGACGCCGCTGGTCATCCATCGACTGCCCCACGCATTCATTCATTCCGAGTTACCATCACCATCCCGTTTCCTTCCCCCCCTCTCTCGGTTCAACCACGTCTCCCCTTCTCCTCCTCTCCTCTTCCCCCCTCTCCCGAGCCCCCGCTCCATGCCCT